ATTACTGCAAAATTGCCTAATTTTTTTACCGGTGCGTATATTATAAAAATTGTTCCATAAATTAGATGTGTCATCTCTACAGAGTCAGAAAGAAAAATTTCAGGACAGCCATGGTGCGAAATTTCAGGATTTGAAAGAGGAAGAATGTCACAATTTACTACTTCGGGAAAATTAAAAAAAACACTCAGCACAAAACATTTTAAACAGTAAACAATATTTTGACATTTTGATCAGTTCCTGTTTCATCATCATGTTTCTTCCTGCCACTGTGGCATCTAGTAGCTCCTTCATTCTCTATTTTTGGCTTCTTTCATCCACGTAATTGCACATAGCTGTTCAAGGGGATTCTTCCACCAAATTAACCGCTTTCCACCCAGTTTAAATAATATTTTGAAAAAATACCTGCATTTTCCCATTCGTCGACTGAAATAACCCTGAATAGGTACCAATAAAAGTAGTGCTAAGAAGCCGGCAAGTGATGAGAATCCAATTTCATACCAAAGCATAGAAGTATACGCAATCAACAATAATGGCGATAACCAAAAGTAATGCAAAAACAGAAAAGTCTGCAAAACATTTTGCGATTATAAATTAAAGCCAAAAATTGAAATGTAATTGAAGAAAATTTAAATATAGCTGCACTTGGGTGTGAGAACATTCCGGTAACATCACTAAAATGAAACACCACACCGATCATCCGAGCAGTAATCTTGGCATTTAAATTATGCAGTATTCAATGGGCAAGCATGTTTATATCGATCCATCACTTCAGGGTAGAAGTTCCCTCAAAAAAAAAGCCACTGCTAACTAACTATTGTAGAGAATCACTGGAAGAAAAGCAAACGAACCACTTCAAATCTGGCAATATCATTTGATAAAAGATTGATCATGTGACCGACTGTTGTTCTGTGAAGTGCTCCGCAGCTTAATCGGACACCCTAAAATTATAAAAATTATGACTGATATCTCAGACACTAACAGGAGAGACAGCCAGTGCAGTAAAAGGTACCGCTTGGAACAGCTACATGGAATTATGTGATCTTGAGAGAAGTTTAAGGAAGTGAGGAATGGAGAAATTGTCAGCTGCATCAATGGTGCGATGGAACGGATGAAATAATAGCTAATCGGAGAATAAAATGAGAAAAAAGTTGGCGTTTATAGCATTTTAAGTAATTTTTATAAAAAATTAAGGCAATTTTTCGCTGCCTCTAAAAAAACATAACTAAACAGTATCAGCTCTAGAATGTTCAGTGCTAAATTGGACTGCTGAAGCGCAGTGATATATTGCGTGAGGTTGCACAGGGCCTTTCCTCTATGAGGCAGCTTTCTCCTGTAGCAAGCCACTGTTCATACTACATCATCACAAAAATGCGGCTACGTACTTTCAGTTACCACATGAAGAACAAAGCAAGAAATATGGCGAAAAATCCGCAAAAAGCCGGAAAAGAAGCCGTCACAAAGAAAAAAGATGGAAACCGCCTACAGGATGCAGAGAAGAAAAGAAAGGTGTACATTGCCCTGAAAGGCAGATACACAGTAGATGTGCCGCCAGACTGAACCTAAAGAAAAGGATCGGTGGTGTAGTAGTAACACGTTTGCCCGGATGCAAAGAGCAGTGGTTCGATTCCCTCCGGGTGCAGCACAATTTTCGAGAAACGGCTCCGTTCACGGCAAGAAAGGAAGTACATTTTTGAAAAAAAAAAATCGAAACCTTTTCCATGATCATTCCGGAACATGCGGTTTTCAGTTCCAAACCAAATTTTAACAAACAGTGAAAATACGGATGATGAATGATCGGTATCATGATGCTAGTCATACCCACACCCAGAGCTGCCAAATAAGCATCCCTCTTCGAAAGCGGCGAATCATAACGGAAATATCGAATCAAGAGTCCCAGCGCAACAGGTTGTAACAAATGAAATATATTCTGTAAAAGCAACATTTCTCCAGAAATTCGAAAAATTTCTAAGCTAGGCTCATCTCAGCACTCAGTTTAGTGACCACTGGCTAAATGTTTATTTTACCCATAGAATTCTCCATTCGCAAGTCAATTTCCCAAGTTTTTTCGTCCTAAATGGGCAATTACAAAGCTTCTTTTAGGACAAGAAGGTGTCGTTTAAACCCTCTTAGCTGAACACACTGCTTTTTACTAAACACTTTTCAGATGTACTAATAAACGAAGAATAGCCTGAAACCTCTCGGAAGAAGGAATTTTTCGCACCTAACCCCTTCCACCTGAAGACACTGTTTTTTACTAAACACTTTTCAGATATACTAATTAACGAAGAATGGCCTGAAACTGCTCGGGCAGTTAGTGTGGTATCCCATGTTAGAGATTTTACTCGAGTTTGACGTCACTGAGAGTAAATTAAAATTTTTGATTAATAGGACTTCGGAGGAGGAGAGTTACATAATATGAAGGATGCATCAAGTCAAAAACCAGATGCTGATCCCTCCTCTTTCCCTCGCTGCCTTCGACTATTCACTCTCTCTGAAGGTGAACTCGCTTGGAACACCCCGTGTAATAGTTCTGCATTGAATCAGCCGGTCACTCGCAAGGCTGTAGATGGTCCCCTCATTAATGAGAAATAATTAGACGTTAGCGTACAGCATTTCTCAGGAATTGCCGGTTACCAAATTATCATTCTACAAATCCTGGCTGGCTCCCGCCAGAGGCTAACGTAATTTCCCGCAAGTTTAGGAATGTTCGATTGCTTTTGCGTTAATCTTCGTGATCCCGACACTTTACACTCTTCGTATTTCTCATCACCCTCAACAGTCATTGTTTCAGGATAAATTATCTTCACTCCGCTCTCACACCTCATCACCCTCAACAGACCTCAACAAATATCAAACAAAATACCTCAACGAATATCAAAATACCCGTTAGAATAAACCGTTTGGCAAATATTCGTCTTACAACTTTGACCATTGACGGCTTCCTGTTTGCCTTGCTGGCCAACCGCTTTTCTTTTTCCCAAGCTCTGTGTGAACAATGAACATTAATATAAGTGCGTATTATACGAGACATTTTCTTTTTTGAAAATGAGTTCAGTGAACGGATACAACTGACAAGTTGACAAAATTGACAGCTCTTCATTAACATTCCCTTTCTTGTCACAAATTTTTCCAGTTAATATTTCAGGGAAAAACTCGGCCTTTACAAGAAATTTATCCTTTATGAGCTCAGTTCTACGCAACTTAAAAATTAATTTAGCATTCGTGTCACAAAAAAAAAAAAAAAAAACAGTGCTACTGCCGTGCAGCAGGCTGAAGGCTTGATTCCACCAATGGAACAACCGATCCCTTTTACGATTCGTTCATTTATTTGGATGGTAAATTAGCAACGTCGAGAGATAAAAAGGACCGTGTCAAGGAGTCCAAACCGCCATCAGCTTGCTTCTAAGCAACCTTCTTAAGAGAAACAAACCACAGCCTTACTAGCGAGTAGTGCTTTGCCATTTACTATTAATCGAGTTACTCCTTAAGTGTCTTCGCCTACTACAGGAACAGAATGCGGGAGATTTTGATCAATTGCAGTTCGTAGTAATGTTTGATAAGTGGATGGGAAGCCGCAGTTTCTTTGTTCATCATCTGGTGTCAATTTGCTGAAAATTCTGATATTTGTTTCTTCTCTTTTACGGATTACTAGCTTGATGGTTCTGCTGAAGGAATCTGGCAAGGCTTCAGTTGTTTCAGGACATAACTGGTGTATGTTGAATAGATTCGAAAATTGCTACTCCTAGATTATGACGAGATCCCTTATTTTACTCAACCTTTCTGTGCAGTTCACCCAATAAATTTTTGTATATTTCTAACTTAAAACGAACTCAGTCATGCGCCGAGTTGCTGTTTCAGAATCCTGCTCCGGCAGTGGCTCATACATATCATTCTCTTCCAGTTGCCTCTGATAACCTCGCACTAGTGTCGGCATTACGAACCTATAAAACACAAAAGGGTGGTACATATTCAAGTCTGGCAGACAAAATCGAAACTTTTTCTGTATTTCTGATTTTCACAAAAACCTCTACCTGTCGACAAACAAAATCGAAACTTTCGTCTTTATCTCCATAAAGACGCATTTCAAAGACAGTACTATGTCAGTAACAATCAATCATTAACAAGACAGTAATGTGTCAGTAACATCCAATCATCTCCTTCGCCGAGGGTTGTTTATGAAGTAGATCGAAGGCAATTCGAGGTCGCGATACGGTAGGGAGGCCAGCATTTGCATAAAGGGTTTTGATTTCTTCCTAATCATATTTATGTTGCTATTTCTGATGTGCTTGTTTTATTTTACTTTTATTCACTTATGTCTGCTTATCAACGAGTTAAACGAGAAGGACTGTAGAATTACTGGCTTTCAGATCAGGAGATTGAAGCTGCCAGCAAGAAAACAGCTGCTTAAATATAAATTTATGCTACGGTACCCAAACAAAGTCTGTCAGTAAACGCACAACTCATGCATGCATATACATGCAAATAAACGAAGACATACACACAAATACAAAAACATGCATATATATGTACATAAAGGCAAAAACATGCATAAATACACGCATACAGAAATACACAAAATTATTAAACTAACAAACACATGGAGGTAATTATGGCCGACCATGATGCATCTCCTAGATTTATGCAAGAATGCATAAAAATGAAATTTAAAAGAAAAACTAACAAGAAGGAGTAACGTGAGAGGCAGCACGCTGCTGCTTCGGCATTCTTCCGAAGTTTCGGGAATCGACCATCCATGTTTCTTTATGCTAACTGGAAAAAATGACTGTTTTTAAATTTTGGCCTGGAGACGCTACTTCCGTCAGCGCATTAAGTTAATGAGTTTCTTCCTAAGTGAAATAGTAGAACAAGAGATTAGGGACTGGATTAAGTAACATGTGTAAGAAAGCATGTTAGGATGCAGTCTGTGTTTCATCCCTTAGCTGTAAACATACATCGAACTTTGCATCCAGGTAAGAGTAAGAATCATTCCGCCACGTGCTGGACATTTATGTGAATAATATGCAAGACGGATATAAGAAGAGAGAAAGAGGACAGAGGGAAAAAGAAAAGGAAATTAACTATTGAGAGGGACAATCATAGTATGCCATTCACAAGCCATCATTTTTATGAGAAAAAGTACTGAATAGGCTTTTAAATCCTACGTCATCAAAGAAGAATTTGCTAAGTACAGATCGGTTCCTGAAGCGAAATCTGAAGACGGAGCGTTCTATACTGGCATTTAAGAAATTCCTTCCCCCGTTTTTACTAAGGTTTAAGTACATGCTGAGCGCCCCTGATTCCAAATAATCTTGTACAAGTTTCAATTACTTGCGATGTCGCAGACAAAAATCCTGAGAAGGAAACTTAGGAAAAAATCGGCATCACTGGCAGTGATTTTGGCATTTTTTTATTGCATTTAAACTGACGGCTAAGTTGTTGGTATGGATATTCTCGGGTTTCTGCAACAAAAAACCCAAGGACTGTTCACTGCTGAATGTTCTGATATTGCTAATAACACAGGAAGCCTCCAATTTAACGAAAAGATTCGCTTGAAAGTCTTTGCGAAATTACGTGAATAAGAGAAATCCAAAACGGAGAAGAATAGAGAAATTGCTTAGTGCATCAACTGCGAGAAGAAACACAATGATGAAACAATAAATAAACAGAATATCAATATATCAAATATCTTTTATTTGTTACGGCAGAAGTAAAAATAACCTAACTTTTGGGAAGAAGATAGATTGCTAGTGGAAGCCTAGGAAAAGAGAGTAAGCGATCTATACTCTCTCACTTCGCCCAGTTTACGCTTCTGCATGTAACCACGACAACAGTTGTCAGACAAAATGCCATGAAGCTATGTCGCATTGAGTCAGACTCACTGACGTGATTGTTCAAAATTGAAAAATTTGATATCCTTTTGACGAAATATGCTCACGAAAGTAGATTAACATAAGCGACAGCTACCAAGCAAAAGTGATATCAAATTTCGAACAAAATCAAAAGGTGACGGGGGAGAGATAATGTTCGAGGTGAGGCAGTGATAAATATCAATGATATCTCGAAACGGCTAAGAGTCTTTTCAAATATTTCTATTTATTCCTTTCAGGGACATCAAGAACGCCAGCAGGATGACCACCAGACGATGCAACATTGGTCAAAGTTACCGGACACATAATTGGAGAATCAGGTCATGAAATGCAGTTCATTAAAGTCTCAAAATTAGTACTAAACGCAGAAGTGATATGGACGTTATAAGGACATAAATCTGTAAATATTCATGACTAGGAGAATGGAGGAGGAAGTAGAGGACCACATGGCAAATGAAGTGCTCCAGCAGCTCAGTGCTATACAAAAAATCGCCTCGACCAGAAAAAAAAGCAAAATTCAATTAGACATATGCTAGATCTACATAACAGGCTATGATCTGTGCCTGGCGGTCAATGGCATATCGAAGATCCGAGACTTTTCAGGACACATGACAGGAATAGGAGGAGAAAGAATCCGGGCAAGACAGCCTGATATCCGGGGCAGCGCGTCTGCATCTCAACAACAGTAAGGGGTTGCATACGGGCAAACTCAATAACTGAAATTTTCAGTGACTAGTGTGGAGGCAGTGCACACTAACCAACCGCGTAGAATACCCGCAAAGCACACAGTGATGCCAGTGATGCTCAAATTTGCTAATATGAAACGCAGTGATTCAACTAAAATTAGAAATAAACAGTTTTCTTCGAAAAATTTAAATATTTGTCCATCTGACGTTTGCTTACTGTCACAATTCATCGAATGGTACTCAAAAAGTTGATCTCGACAGCGAACTCCGAAGAGGTGGTAAAATAGCAATGGCAGCGTATGTGTAATTCGATCAGGCAAAGAGGTGTGTTTATAAACCTCTCTTGAAGCTACACATCAAACATCCCATATGGCGAAGGGATGATTTAGGTTTCGCTTTTCGAAGTTACAAACAAAACATGAACAAACAAAGAAGGTAAGGTCCAAACAAGGGGTTACTGGACGCTACCCATGCTGTCTGTGAACCACCGGGATGCCTGATTCGGTTTCAGTATCTTTCAAAACAATAAATCACTGATATCCAATTGGGGCCTCTTTCACAACAAGGCTTTTAGGAACTGGTTATTGTAATTGGAGACCATCTCTTTACAGTTTATAAAACAGGTACACGCACGTAAAAGGGCTCAGCTTGGTTTCGAGAGGCATATACGGAGAAACAAACATAGGTTCGCGATTTTTACGACCGCTGTGCTGTGACGCAACTTGATAAGTTGTCCGGGAGTTTGAAGAGTTACATCTAAAACATCAGTAAGAAGGCAATGGAAAATTAAGAAATTAGAAAAAAACAATTTGAGCACTTCACAGAATGCGAAAAGCTGAGGTATACATGTATACTTTTTTGTAACACCTAATAAACACTTTCGCTAAAAAGCGAAAATGTTTCTTTTTCATCCCCCTCTCCTCCCCGTCCCCAATTCTTATGAATCGCTTGATGAAATTGCAAAGGAGCCTCACCATCTAGAACCTTTGGCATATCATTAATAAACCCTTAACCCTTCACGACGCACTTATTTGACCAGCGAATAGCTTCTAGCAAATTCTCCGAATGAATGATGAAAGAAACGTAACATACTACTCTTCCACCACGTCAGCCAGGGGAAATGCTAGATTGAAATCAATGAAACAGACTATTGTTCCCGAGCACATTCCGCACTTCATTTTAACAGCATTCTTCGAGAATTTGCCAATATGTAAAAAACGTCCACAAGAGGGCGAAGAGGGAATTGGAAGGGGAGGAGGGAGGGTGGAGGGAGGCCCTTGCCCAAAAAATTTGGTGCAGCTTTCATACTTTAGGAGAACAACTGCAGTCTTCGCAACAACGAAAAAGAAAGACATTTGAGAGCAGTGTGAGCAAAATGGCGGGAGAAGAAGAGCAGAAGGAAAAAATTGCGGAAAAATCTCAAAAATATAAAGTGGGAATCTTATGAGACTGATTCTACAAAATGACTCTAGCAAATCGCAATTCACCATTGGTGTGAAACTTACTCAGCAATAATTTGCATGGTTTTGACCAGCGGTCATCTGGTTTGCAGCAGTTGCTGGAACTAACGCAGAAGAGTCCAAACGCTAATTTTTTCCAGACTTTCTTGATTTTGCTACAGACGTCATCATTTTTACAAAATGGGGCTGAATTAATATCGAGATCCCCGGATTATCGCAAAGACTGGCTTTTTTTGAGAAGGATAATAATGGGTTTGGGAACACAAAATATTAAACACATCTTTTTGTCCGGATTATTAAAGAAAACTTGAAGGACCTCGATCAACAGCCCGAAAATTAAGTCCAGCCACCCTAAACCTATAAAAATCGACTTCACGAGAAACCCAATAACACCTTGCGCATTTACTTTTTATGAGAAACTGAGGCATTTAGGAGTTGCTCGACTGAGAGAGCAAATCAAAGGAATTCACGAGCCGGAAGGATGTCGATGAATTCCTCTTTTGCAAATTGCTTTAAAAACAGAAAGCCAACTTCCAGACTTTTTGCTTTTAAAGCCAAAAACCGACCGACTTGTAAGTACAAGAGCTCGTAATCTGTTGCGTTTTGATGCCTAACTCGAAATAAGACTAAAGAACAGTTAGCGTGAACGAAGCGCGGAAGAAATTTCCGGAAAAGTGTTCGCTGTACTGGAAAAGAGGGTGGATGCGATGACGAATAATAAACAGTTGCGCAACCTGACACAATGTTCCGCGTCGACTGAGCGTCATAATTTAAACATTTATTTCGAAATACCACACAATCTTCGACGTGGGCACTGCAATAAAATGGGATTTTTTTTTCAAAAAGTGCCTCTCTTGAGTACTTTCATGTACCCCTTCAGATTTTTGGAAAATTGCTCAACACTTCTCAAACGACTGAGCACTTCTCATTTATAGTCAACAACAGAAAAAAAGATAGCAAGTAACTAATGATAATAATAATAATAACAATAATAATGACGACAAAAATAATAACGATAATAATAATAGCAGCAATGGTACTCTACAAAAACGCGTAAAAATCAATAAGATCGGATTCATTGAGAATACACAGAGATCATTAAAATAGTGATTCACTTGCTGAGCTGTTTGTGCAGCTCTGACATTTCAAAGCAAGAGAGGACGAAAAGCGTGAATTGGAATTTTAAATTTACGAGGCTTATTTGCAATGCATTTTGATGAAAAATTGTTGATCAACTCGCCAAACTAAGTATATTTTACTTCAATATTTTGATCAGTTGCTGTTTCATCGTTGCGTTTCTTCTAGCCATTGAGGCAGGTAATGAATTCTCCATTCAACCCCCTTTTGAGCCTCTCTTGCCCAAACAAATCCGTTTAGGCTGTTCAAGCGAAACATTATATCGCAGTGGAGACCCACATTGTGCCTTCGTAACATTACATAGTTGTCATCCATTAAGCAGTTTTGTCCATCTGTTGTCCCTCATTATTGCCACATGACTACTTGACAAAGCTGCAAAGATTCCTTGAACTATAATATTCGAGGGAGCCACTTTCCTCCCAAAGATTCCTTGAACCACTTTCTTCCTGCACAGCCCCTCCCC